CATGCCTAAATTCACTGCAGCAGTAGCGCTTTTGGAACAGCAGCCTGGATTTTCATCCAGTCAATTAGTGCCTTGCTAATAAGCGAGGTAATATGCATGATTGATGATATTGCTTGAAACGTATGGTTTGCCAAATATTAGGCAAAAGGCAGGACATTTCGTTACAAACCGTCCAAGAATGTTTGTTCTAAACGACATTATCCATCAACACCGTGAGACAGAGCTAAAATACAGTCTGAAAACATCTGACAAGCCTTAACAACGGCTAACAGCATCAATTCCTGTTCTACTTCTCCAACATGGTTGTTAACAGCCAGATCCACCTGCCGCCAGCCCAAACATCGTCTGACAGCCCCATCACTGTTAGAGAATCTGTTAGGCTAACATTTCCTAACAGGCACGCCTGTTAGCCGCTGTTAGACCCCCTATGAGTTGGTAGGTACCATCACCTTCAAGGGCAGGTGCTTCACAGCACGCACTGCTGGTGATTCAAAAGCAGGCGCAGTGCCAGCAAACACAGCATGTGCCGAAAGGCCAAAGCGATGGGAGATGGCGGGAGAATGAGGGAGTGCGTCGCTTCCAGGCGCACTGGACAGCTTTGTTCGAATGGGCTGAGTGTGTTGCGCCGGATATGGAGGCTGGCGAGGTGCATGACCGTGTCCGGTGCGGTCCCTGCTCCCTCAGCCGGCAGCGGGACATCACGATGGATGCCAGGCAGGCCACACTGAAAAGCCATGAGCTCACCAAAAAACACCAAGAAGCCATGTGCAACCACGAAGCACGGGCCCTTCAGCACGAGCGGCACTAGCTGACAGCGTGGACGATCGACAACCTTTTGTCCAGAGCACTCAGCAAGTCTGAGAGGGGAGTTGTGCAGCAGCTGCGGCAGCTCTTCTTCATGCTGGATCACGGGCGCCCCATCCTCGACTACATCGGCTCTAAGGACCTGTTCCAGGTGCTGGACGTGCCACACTACCGTGATAAGCACTGGAGCTGCAACAGTGCCTGGCAGCTTGCCGAGGCCCTGGATGCAGTGCTCATGGACGAAATCCGCAGGCTGGTCACCGCCAACCGCTTTGTATCCGTGAGCCTGGACGAGTCCACGGGCATTGACAAGAGGTCCCGGCTCTGCATTCACGTCTACATCATGGAGGGCTGGAACCAGAACCCGCTGTGCATTGATGTAAGGCCGGGATGGGTTTAAGGTTTAAAATTGACATAATGCCGGGGTAAATTGCTGGGAGCCCAGCTCTTTTAATCGTTACTCAATTTTTCACATTTCCTCAGTCTAGACGGCTTCCTCCTTCAACTGTTTTTTGGCCCCGGATGGACCCCATTAAAGTCTCTGTTGTCTCTCTTTTCGTGTCCTACAGCTGGCAAAATTGGAGGCGGCACCGACAGCGGACAACATCACCAGCTTGCTGCTGGAGGTGCTGGCGGATGGAGCTGGGCTGACGGCCAACGAACTTGCGCAGAAGCTGGTCGCCGTGAGCACGGACGGGGCAAGCGTCATGACGGGAGTGCACAACAGGGTCTCGACTCAGATGACGGACCTTGCTCCGCACATTGTTAGCATCCACTGCATGGCTCACCGGACGCAGCTGGCAGTCGGTGCCCTGGAGCAGGCGGCAGTCATCAGCACCCTAAAGGCACTGGTCCGGGTCATCTACAGCCACTTCTCGAACAGCCCCAAGCGCTCTTGGCCTTCGCAGCCGCTGCAGAGGAGGCTGATACCGCTGGAAACCACCCCCTAAGGGACATAGAGATCAGGTATGCTAAGCCGAGGATATATGGCGGGTAAACATGAGGGCTGCAAGGGCTGCTTAGAACCTGCCTAACATTGTTTGCTTTATACTATTAACACCACCTTACTGTTTGTTTTTGCCGCCCCCGCAGGTGGCTGAGCCTGCTGCTGCCGCTGCAGCGTGTCGTGAGTGAGTACGGCGCCCTGCTGCTGTACATGGAGGAGGCAGAAGAGCAGTTCATCTTCACCCAGATGACGGACGCCCGCCTGTACCTGGCCATGCATGCCTTACTACCCGTGCTGCGGCGCACCAACTTCTTCATCAAGCTCTGCCAGAGCCGGCACCTGTTCATCGGCCACCTAAACGTCGAGCTGGAGCGCCTGAAGGCTGACCTCCACCGGATGTACCTGGACAGCGCCACATGCTATCAAGGTGCGGATTTTGTGGACTACACCCAGCTAATCCCCACGGGCCCTGCGGGTGACAGCCTAGACGGCACCCAGTGGGAGCTAAGCCCTGAGGATGAGAGTGTCGGCCTGGTGTTTGGCGACCGCTTCATTGCCTTCCACATGATGCAGCAGCGGTGGGGCAGAGGCGGGTGCATGGTCAGCCTAACGGCGGAGCTCATCACGTCCACTGCTGCAGCAGTCCAGGCGGAGCTTACTGCCGCAGTGCAGGTGCTGGCCGACGAGCTGGAGGCCCACTTCCCCCCACAGCCCTGCTGGATGCCTTCCAAATCCTCTACAGCGAGTACTGGGAGGCCAGGCCGACAGCGGCAGACTTCCGGTCAAAGCTGAAGGTGATCAAGACCCACTACGGCAAGGAGTGCGAGCTGGACGACAGGAGTAAAGTGCCACCAAAGCTCAACATCGCAGCATTGGATGCCAAGGCCACAGAGTTCGTGCAGCTCATGCGGTCCTTGGCAACCAAGCAGCGACTGGCCCGGATTCGGGGGCAGACCACCAAGCCGCATAAACAGCTTGAGGCGGAGCGGGCGGCTGCTGGCAGCAAGGTGGTGCAGCGAAAGCTACATGAGGAGAAGGAGGAGAGCCCCACCATCCAGCTTTGGAAGCAGCTGGAGAAAGCCCCTGTCCATGCGGAGAGCCTAAAGGAGTACGTGGCTTTGGCCAAGCTCGTGTTTGTGATGGTGCTGGGGTCGGTGGAGGACGAGCGCCGGTTTTCGGCCATGAACTTCGTGCAGAGCAAGGTCCGCAACCGCCTGGACGAGCACCTGGCGCTCTGCGTCAGGATGTTCACGCAGGAGCTGTACGACCTGCACATGTTCCCCTTCGATGTGGCGGTGAAGAAGTGGCGTGAGGCCGTGATCAAGGGGCGGTACCGCATGAAAGACTAGCTTCTGATGCAGAGGCCTAGCCAGCAACTGGTCGGCGGCTGGTGCAATGCAGTGGTGTTGATGGTGCCGACAGTGTACATATATATAACTTTGCCTTCGCGTGCTGACGATGTTTATGGACAGTCAAAGTGGCTCCGCGCCCTGCCCACAGAGACACTGGCGCAAATGGTGGTACGGCATGTGTGTTTCCAGACGTCAGGTGTTGTGTACAGCACACCGTACAGCCTTTGAGGGGGGGTCTGGGGGGGGCGACTATACAAAAAGGAATTGTAACCGCAAGAAACACCCAGTTTATTACTCTAGGGTATTAGGCCCCAAACGAAAAAAAAACACTGGTTTTACCTACGTAATGATATGTGTGGAACATTTTTCTAAGTATGTGGTTCTCATTCCGCTGCCTGACAAGCATGCTGAGCAGACAGCGTTCACCTTCCAGCACCACATTTTGGGCCGTTATGGGGCCTGTGCTGAGGTATGTACAGATCAGGGCAGTGAGTGGAAAGCTGAGTTTGCGCAATTGTTGATTGATTCGTTGATAGATCATCATCAGACCTCCGTGAACCACCCGCAAGCCAACGGACTGGCAGAGTGTGCTGTTCAGACTTGCAAAAACGCGCTCCGGCGCATTGCACATGCTGGCGGTGGAGTTGAGGAGTGGGCCAAGCATCTGCTGTACGTCATGCTGGGCTACAACTGCTCCGTGCAGTCAGCATCGCGTGTTAAACCATACCACGTCATGCACGCCGTGGAACCCACCATTCCACCGGCAATTAAGCAGCGTTTTGGAAGGGACGTGAGTTTGGATGACCCAGAGGCGGCGGCAAGGTCTATTATGCAACGTGCTGCCGCGCTTCGTCGACATATGGCCGTGGCGGGCGGCAACCTACTCATTGCACAGCATCGTGACACTCTTTGTTATGCGTGCATGAGGGGCGGAGCCATTTTGCCGTGTTTGCGTCGTTTTGAGATGGGTGACTACGTGTATTATCGGAATACCTCTGCTCGCGCCAGTTTGGATCCTCACGCCAAGCCGGATATTCTGCGGGTTACTGAGGGTGAGGCCCTCCGGGGTGTTGGTGCTAGAGGGACGCTGTGGTGGCACGCTTACTGCCCATGTCAGTCACTGTGCGCCCTGTCATTTGCCCATCGATGATCACGTGGTCGACCCGCGATTGGCTAGGCCATCTCCAGGGCATCCCTGTGAGGTGTGCAGATTTCCTGATGGTGAAGAATGGATGTTGTTATGTGATGCGTGCGGCACTGGATGGCACACTTATTGTCTTAAGCCGCCTTTGAAGGAGATACCGGAGGGTGCATGGATTCGCCCAAAGTGTGAGTCGAAAGGAGTTAGTGCTGAAGCTTTGGAAGGGAAGTCGTCCGAACCTGCGTGGGGTGCAGCTCCCGAGCCACCCAAGTACCTACACGACCTCCAAGGTGTGGCTGTTATGAGAGAGTCTAAGGGAAGAGGGCGCCGCACCACCTGGTCGCTGGGTGTAGCATCGTATGCTGGCCGCAGGGGAAGGTCCCACGTGTTTCAGGTAGTGTACGACAGTGGAGAAGTTGAGGTGGTTAGTGTGAGCGAGTTGTGCAATCGTGTGGCCCCTACACACCCCTCTGCCAAGAAAGCGATGGCGGGCATCTCTGAGGCCAATGAGCATCCGTGCTCGGGCCCGTTCGAGCTTCACACGACCAAAGGGGTCAGCCAAGCTTTGGCCCGTGTGATGCCGGGAGAGCACAATCCAAGCAAAGTGAAGGCATTGGTGACTGCCGGATGTAAAGGTATCATGAGGAAGGATCCTGTGAGGGCTGAGGATGTTAGCGTTCTAACGCAAGCCATCGCAGTTGGTTGTGTGGGATCAGTGTTTATCCCCTGGAAGTGGGATGAGAAGGCAATGCAGCAGTTGCGGGATGGTGCCTGCACCGTTCGATATATGCCCGATAAGGCAACCCTCTATGCGGCCCAGCCGCAGAGTTTTGCAAAGGCTCGTTCTGATGGAGTCGCCATGCCAATCATAGGGTTGGATATCTCTGAGGAGGTGATGGACGTGGTGTTGCCGGTGGCATATCAGCATGCTGAGGTAGCTGTCATCGCTGCTGTGCCTCGCACTTATATCACACCGGCGGATCCGGCATGTTTGCATTGGCTCCGTGCTGTGCAACGGGACGACCGTTTGAGTGTTTTGCAAATAGGAAGTAAGTTTTGGTTGGTTGTGTTCAGCAGCGCTTTGTGGAAGTGCGCCCTGGTTAAGGACACAACGCGCGCCGTTCAGTTACTTTAGTGCCCTTTTGAGTGGTCTACCGCCAGCTCACCTAGCGCAATCCACGCATGAGCTGGGGGGGGGAGTGATCCATCCGCATTTCTTATGTCTGTTAGCACGTCATATGGCGTGACACTGATACACTCGGGGAATGACTTGTTCATGGACGGGTTTTTGGGCGAGGCCCCGGGCGTGAAGCACCATTCGGGGGGCCGACTATAGAGCCAGCGACGGATTTAGGCTGTACGACTTGAGGGCCTTGTTCATTGGCCTTCTTCCCTATAGAGGCTTCATTTCTCTATGAAATACACAAGCTGCTTGTTTGTACATTTATTTTGGCCAATGCACGGGGCCTCTGAAGAGTTGCAGCGTGCCGTGAGGAAGCTTGTGGCAGTAGAGTGCTTTCCTGTAGCCGCTGGTGCTTCAAGACCTAAACATCACAGACAGCACACAGGTCAGCAACCGATGGGCGTGCCACGGAATAGTCCCGAAATCGCTCGAAAATACATTCGCTACACAAACACCAGCTCCCACCATGTTGACATTACCCATCAATTGCCACACTTGCCACCCTTGCTACCGGCCTGTACGGATGCAGAGGGGCCCCGCCTTTTTTCCGGCTTTCTTGAAGCCGACACCCAACTTGTTTTTGTTATGATGCAAGGCCAATCTGAGCATCCCAGGTTACGCCTTTGCTGTGTTTCACTGCCACAGATTTGAAATTTTCGAAAATTTGTACCCCAACATCTCAACAGTGGCAGTTAAATGTCAATCTTACACCTCCAGAAATGAATTGGTAACTTGGAATCATGTATTGAGAAAGCATTTACCCCTAGCTAGTTACCAAGTTCCCAATTACGTACTAAGTACGTAGCTTTTAAGACCATCACTCTGGGAAAGGTTTTCACCCGTAAATTCATGTTTACCCGTAATCACGTGGTCTTCACATGTAATTACCGGCCAAGAAAATTTGTAAACATGCTTATTTTTAAGTTGCCAAAGCATTCCTTTTATAAGGAAGAACATAGGTGACATTGCCCGTGCTGGAAGTCATCCACAGGTTACATTACCGGTAATGTAATTAATGTAATTACGGGTACCTGAGGTCTTGACCCGTAATCCCCCAAGCCGTAATGCACAGCACCCGTAAAATTTCACGGGCTTAATTGCGACGAAGACGTGTTAGCGTGTGTGTGTGTTACATGGTTGGGGGTGCGTGACCCCATACCTGTAAGACTACCCATACGAGCCGAGGGCCCAAGGGTAATACTACAACGCCTAAAAGCCACGGAGGAAAGGAAAACACCGCACATCAGCCCAGACTAGCGTCTAAAGGGGGTAATTGAGTTTCGGTGAGCCCACATACATTCCAATATCCTCGCCAGACGTGCGGGTTCCCATTGCATGGCCTCCAACATGCTCTGTTGATGATCGAATCCCTCTTCAGCACGAATATCATTATAGGCTGGGCATTCCAATAACAGGGGTTCACATCCTCAATTCGGCTATTAGTACCACAACAGTGGCAAAACCGCTGCCCCCTGGGGACATGGTACTTGCCCCTTGATGCTCTGTTTGCCTCCAAAGCCCAGCAACATAAACGAAACTGCATTACCTTACTATATGCTAAATGAAAACCTTAGCATGTGTTGGCCACATGACGGCTGCGGCTCCCGAAAAGGGCAGCCCCATCCAGTGCTTATACTTCGCCATTTGCACTCCCGGTTGCTTCCCATCTGATGGGTAGTCTACTCAACAACCAGTCAACACGCTCCTTTACCCCCACGACTTCTTGCGGTATTCCACTCCAAATGTTGCACTCCAAGAAGGAAAACAGTTGTAACATTGGGATTCCCCAACCCTCCCATTCTGGGTTGGTCAGGGCATCGGTTATTTCCTGCCGTAAAACGGCATGAGCAATGGATCCCACTTGCTTTTTAAGGCGGTTCCAGAAACGGAGGATCTGCTTCACCATGTAATATTGTAAGGGGAGTTCAGCCAGCTCCGTGTACAACAGCCTGTGGGATGGCCGTGCCGTCCCCACTACCTGCCTCATGAATAAAATCTGCAGCTGGACTGCGCTATCCTTCAAACAGGCTTCGAACATGCCCTCCGCAAGGTTGGCTTTATCCCGCCGTCTTCCCACCCTGTCCACGACCTCTGCCAGCGTTAAAGGGCCCCACGCCTGGCAGCCATACAACAGAATTGCTCAGACTTGGGTTGCAAACCACCACATTCGTACATCGGGGGCAAACAGCTTCATTTTGTCCAACTTTGCACTTACGGAAAACATAGCGGACCGACCTGCATCGCCCGACCAGAAGTACCCGCTGCGGCAGCTCTGGAGCAGTGTCCGCATGTGAGTGGTTGGGTGAAGGGAGCGTGGCGGGGATGCGGTGCGGGGAAGGGCGGCGCAGGCAAGGGAGGGTGGAGGGGGCGGACAGAGGAGGGTAGCTCGGAGGGTGGGTTGGATGCTGGTGAGGAAGAGGTCCTAGCCGCTGGCGCTGGGGAGGAGTCCAGCTCGGAGGACACGGGCAAATATAGCGAAGCTAGCAGCAGCTACAGTGGCAGTGGCAGCAGCGGCAGTGGTGGAAGCAAGCAGTAACATGGCAGCAGTGATGAGCGATTGGGGGTGCACACACCAGGTCGGCCCCAGGCAGGATGGGACAGACCAATCCCAATAGGTGCCGGTACATGTCATGCATCGGGGGTTTCATCCGTAGGAGTAAGCAGTAAGCACGAACTCTGCAAGTGGTGGTGAGACTTCTTGGCGAGCTCTTGCTGTATGGGGGGTGACATGAACGCTGTTTTCGAGGACGATGGTTGGGATGAATGCATCAGGCTGTCAGGCTGGCTGGTTGGCGTTGTGAGTCCAAAGCGCCTTGGTCCACAAGCATACTGAGACTTAGGCTACTTTGACAAGGGGTTCACGTCCATCTTGAGGCTTGCCGCAGTACTTACCAATCGTTAATTTAACACACAGTAAGCGTCACATCGCAGAGTAATATCTGCCCGTGTAACCCGTGATAACAGGGTCTTCACCCGTAATTGTACGTGTAATTGGTTACATGCACCTGTAATTCACCTGCAGCACCACGTAATATCCACCCGTAATCACTGGATATTCACCCATAATTGTGCGGGTAATCGGCTACATGCGCCCTGTAGCAGCCGGTACACAGTACGGCGCTATAAATACACGCAGAGTGCAACCCCCAGCAACTCAAGAGACCTTTTCAGCAGTCAGCTGCTACATTTGGTATCGAGAGCTCGTGAATATTCACAATCCTGAAGTCGTCGGTTTAACCCCCACCGATCATGTTCGAGTGGTATTTCAGGACTGTCTCTGAGCCTGAAATACATGAAGGCTAAGCGCATGAAGGGGGGCATGACGTGGCGTGGGCTTGAGCACCCCACTGGGCGAGGGTAGGCGAAGGAAGGCACAGGCTGGTGGAAAAACGAGGCTCTAAGGGCCCGAGATGGACCCCTTCAAAGGGGGAGGAATGTAGCAGCCGGTACACAGTACGGTGCTATAAATGCGTGCAGAACACAACCACCAGCAACTCGAGAGACCTTTTCAGCGGTCAGCTGACCGCTGCTGCGGTCAGCTGCAGCTGCTACACGCCCATAATTCACCTGCAGCACCGCGTAATATCCACCCGTAATCACTGGGTATTCACCCGTAATTGTGCGCGTAGTTGGTTACATGCACCCGTAATTCACCTGCAGCACCGCACAATATCCACCCGTAATCACTGGGTCTTCACCCGTAATTGTGCACGTATTTGGTTACATGCGCCCGTAATTCACCTGCAGCACCGCGTAATATCCACCCGTAATTCCGGGGTAGTCGCCCGTAAATGTTCACCCGTATCCTTGTGCTCAAATTACGGGACCCGTAACTGTTACGGACCCGTAATTTCTGTCAAAATTACGGGTGGATTGACCCAAATTTACGGGTAAAATGACCCATGTTTTCCCTGCTAGCTAGCAATTCACACCAATGTAAGGCAAAGAGTATTCAGGGAGATGCCAAGGGAGCTGAACCCTTCTTACAGCCAGGGTGGCAATGCGGCGCTTGATCTTACATTGGGAATAAAAATCACAGACAGCACCTTACACCGAGGGAACAGCAGATTCTTGTTTTGCGGGTTGGTCACGCGTGACCAACCCGCAGACCAATTACCTCGCGTGCTTTATGATAATTATTAAAAGCATTGTAATCCTTCTACAAGCATTGTATTCCTTCTAAACATGGGGCTGTAATATTACAGCCATACATGTAATTAATTACATGTATGCGCCACTCAAATAGTGTATGTGCATGCCTTGCTTGCATGAACCAGCCAGAACCAGCCGTGAGAACGGCTCCCTGCTCATTGTCAAGCGAAATTAGTTGCATGTACGTACATACATACGTGTATGCAGCAGCAATTAAACCAATCATCCGTAGATAATCATAAGCCGCTTTAATTTTCAATGGCGTCCCACGGTTTGGCTGCTGGCCGTTAGTTCCAGCAGCCATGCATATTCGTTATGCTGCATGCTATGTGTGTACACTGTACACTATATGCGCTTATTGTCTTCTGCAGTATGGCTAGCGGCTGGTCGGCAAGCGTGTGTCCCTTATGGTCATGAGTAATCCTTCCCGCCCTCTAATATACCTTAGGCTTCGTACATAAGCCTTGTGTACCTGAGGTTTCCTTTGCAATCCAGTATAAATTAATAGTCTGGGTGCATGATGGGCGCAATGGGCGGGTTTGGCAAGCCATCAGTACACATGCTCATGACTCTAGCTTGTAAGCGAGGCAGCCAGTGCGGGTGGATAGCGAGCTTTAGGTCCAACGCCCATGTGTACGTTCATAAGGCTTATTGTAGACAATAATGCCCCTCGCTATTGCTCATTTCCTTATTTTCTGATTGCTGCATGCAGCCAACGTTGGCTGGTGGTTAACCACCTGTATCTTGCTTGGCTCCACTGATGACTAACTAATAACTAAAAAGGCAGGCGGCTGGCAGAGGTTAAGGCCTGACTTCTGCTCCCAGCGCATCCGGGTTCAAATCCGCCTGCCGACCTCTCGGGGTGTTTGAGAGGTGGTGAAATGGGAGGTGGCCCCCCATCTTGTGGACGGTGTAGGACGTGATAAATCAACTTGCCAGCTGACCAGGAACTGAGTTGACGCGCCGTTGATCCGCTGGATTTGGTTGGATGCCGGTGGTGAGTTGCCAAACTCATAGAGTACACTCTGAAGTCGGATGGGGTGAATGGATTAGGGTGCCCCTCTAGCAGGGGAGAGCAGGGAACTGCCTCGGGAAGGAGGCCACTGGTGAAGCTTAACCACCCTGTAACAACATCAACTAATAATGAACGTGCGGGTACCCATGCAATGATGCTCATGATGATTGTGACGCAGGAAATGGCAATCAGCTGGTTCAGTTGGACTGCAATTGGGGCTACACGCAGCTCTTTGGCATTCGTGGCTGGATTCAGACAGGACTTCCGATTAATATTGCGCCTCCTATGTATACAGTAGAGTATAGTTCAGCACACAATCCGCGGTGGTTTACCTGTAATGGAACCACAGCCATAGGTATGTATGTAGACTGCGTTGGCCAGCACTAGTGCTGTATTTTTTCGGGCATTGTATAGGCGGCATATTCAGGAAATTAGGTGAAAGGTATATAGGCCATTTAGCTCTAGAGCTCCATCGGGCACTAAT